CCTTTTGTGCCATCCTTCGGGCATCATCATTCAAGGCCATGTTCTTAGAGCTGAATATCCCCAAGTGGGTTTGAGGCTCCTAGGATGGAGGGTGTACTTGGTAGAGAACCGCCGATATTAGGGGGAAAGCTCATAACTGGAGTTGGTCGATTGGATAATTTGGAAACGGGGTTCAAACGATTATTCACCCCCAGTATCGCCCACTCGACATGTAACTAGCATGTTTTTTCACACTTTTTTCACACACCCTTCCTCCTCACTACGTAGTTTTTTGGCTCGACCAGACGCCCCAACAAGCGCCAGCTGATATCACAACTAATTCCCAGATGGGGTATTGGGGTATGCCTGAAACGCTCTCCCAGTCGGCTGCCATGATAGGGGAGAGCGCTTTCGTTTGACCGGATGTCCGGAGTACTTGCGGGGCGGGCAGGGTCCCGGGAATTTACATGCCTACCGGTAGCGGAATGGAAAGAATGGTGGACTCGAGATAGCTACCTCGGACTATGTATCCAATTACAAGCCAAGTAGATGGCTAGGGGAACCCCATTTTTTGGTTGGACGTGTTAATGTGGAAGCAAACGGATGGCCGGTCACGCAGCAGAAAAGACTAAATGAATATGTGGAGAACTGTGGTGGTAGAGGAATAAGAATGAGAGGTAAGGTAAAACACAACTTCGTTCGCACTCCAACAAACTAACAGTAAAGACAGCGGTATAAGTAAAACATAAAAAATGAATCCTGATCCTTCCATTGATCACCACACCTTTCACTATCTCTCCATGCAAACTGCTCTTTCCTCCATATGCTTCCATGATAACAAAGGAAAGACATGTCTAACGAAACTCTCCCATCAATCTCTGAACCTCCACACTAATCCATGAAACATCTAAACTTGCTGCCACATTACCGAACCTTCCACAATCAATCCCAATCCAGCCACATCCATCTAGAACCCTCAACACTGTTGACATTGAGTAAGTTTGTGTCTACGACCACAACCCCAGGGTCCTACTATAAACGCAGTAATCCCCGAGTATGGGCCGTCAGCAAAACCCCACACGGGAGCTTATACCAAATCCATAACACTTACGCTATCCGCTCTGTGATCTTCGAAGCATTGAAAGGCTCAGAAACGAAGGGGTGAGCTGCGGGATTTAGATTACTTTGCCCCCAGGAGTCCAGAGAATGTAGGGAGAAAAATCCTGGTTGTTTGACCCAGGGAATTTGCAAAGCTAAAGCTCGGGAACCGGAACCTGGCAATCTCAGACACAAGGTCCCACTATTGAAGTCGTAGAAGCTGCTGGCGAAGCGCGGCGGGTCGAAGTTGATTGTGGATACCACGTGAGTGCAGTGATCCCAAGCGGCCAGTCCGGACCACAGTCCGGACTACAGGTCGGCAGTCCGGTCAGTCCGGCCTTGGTTTTGAAAAGCCTGGGCCAGTCCGGTCGAAATTCTCTGCGGCCGCCAAAGCCTGGCGGCGCCCAGGCAACCGCCGGGTCGAGTCTTGGCGCAACCCAGGTGAGAGCCGCCAGATGCCCAGGTAATCTGAAGATATCTATGGACGGCCTGCAGGCTTTCCACTTTTAATCACTCGGAACAAGATATGAGGAGGAACATGCACCTGACCCTATAGATCTCGCTTAAGGTAAATGCATGACATCCAGCGATGAACCCCCGCTGTACCCAAATATGCTGTCCTACCTCAAGACACTATACTATTCTTCACACAACCCCCGGCCACCCCGGGCGAACATGCACCGTCCGCATGAAACAGTTAGTCCTGTTGAATAATGAAATATTTCTTGGTAGTGAAACACACGTGACCCCTGGAAACATCGGCCTGCGGGTGACCCAGGCCGGGCCCGGCTTTGGTTTGGAAAAGCCGCTTTTCCACAGTCCGGCCCGGCCGGCCCTGAAAAAGCCTGGGCCAGTCCGGCCGTACTCAAAGCCGGACGGACTGGCCGCTTGGGATCACTGCGTGAGTGTTGAAGGTGATTGTTCTGGAGTTTGTAGGGTTCTTGTGGTTTACTTTGAAAAGAAGTTGCTTCAAACAAATCTTTCCTTATTTCATGCGTGTGTATGTGGAGGAATGGGGACATGCAGCAGGGAGATGGAAATGTGGTGACCCATGGAAGGATCAGGATACTTTCACTATGTACATCCTCGCCGAGCCTTTTTCAATTACTGGATTTCCTATCGGGTATGTGGTTAGGAGACCAGTGGTTTTGTGATGCGCAGTGGATAGGCACAGGACAGTGGTTTGTTTACGCCAGATTGGTTGAGATTGGGATTCGAAGATGTGGGTGTCCGGGACCATGATCCTGGATCGGGGGTGCCTGTTGGGGACCTATGAGTGTCTTGTATTAGTTTCGGTTTCCAGGCATCGAGGCGGGGGGAGGCCAGCCAGTTAGGCGCCGGGTCCGTGCTTGGGGGGTGAGTGGGGTTTATTGAGGCCCTGCTCGCCAGACCCATAAACCCCGAAATAAATGGCGTTCCCAATTTATAGTACAGGTTGTGGCCTAGACTGGAGATTCCGGGTATCGGAGGGGAGTTCATGTTGGTAAGTCTGGATGGACCGAGAGGGAGACTCCGAACCGGGTGAGCCGGAACAGTGAGATTCAGTTCGGATGCATACATTAAAAATTTGAAAGATTCATAATCAGTAAAGTTCTAACACTGCTGTTGGTGTGGAAGCTTACCTCTCAGAAATCCCCAATTGACACCCCCTCACAGCCCCTCAATCGCCTGAGAACATACCCTTCACCTCTCATGAGCTTGAGAAATGGACCTCATTATGACAACAATAACTCGCCAGAGCCCCTCGCTGGGTTTACACTTTTTTTTCAAGCTATGCTTCCAGATGTCTATACTGTGCACCAAATAATTTGGAATGGGAGACACCCCAGGGTTCAGCCCCTAATTCAAAAAAGTATGGATATGTTCAATCCCCTGATACTTCATGGTTATTGTTGATATTTTTAAGGCACACTATTTCAAATATAATATAATATGAGTGTGGTTTTGTTAGAACCTACACATGGGCTTTTTTTGGTTGTTACCGGGAAAACAGGTTTGAAGGGTGGCAACCTGAGAAAATCAATCTTGAGATAAACACTTTTTTCTTTTCCTCTATAGGAGAATCACTTCTCTTCTATAATAAAAAAGTTTAAAAATAAGGTAATTTGATTAAAAGTTTATTTACTATGTAGAGTATATATCTATGATTTATGATTTGCGAAAATATATTATTTCCATGGTTTTTTCTACTATGTTTATTCTTGGATTCCTAATGTCATTGTCTTTTATATTTTCTTCAAGTTATTTCTGGCAATCCCTCCTTAATTAATAGAGCTTTTCTTAACTGCTCAATTATTTGACCTTCTTATGACTATACCTTTGAACTTGTGGCAAGAATCTTATTCTTACTGGAATAGGTGCTTACATTTTTATAGAGTCTTTTATTGCCAGGACTTGATGCCAATGTTGTAAAAGATACTGTATTGTAGATTTACAATTCATCAATCCTGTACTTCTTTATATTAAATATTTGCCAATTACTAAAAGGTAATTGCTATAAGTTATCTACCATAGATTTTCTAGTATTAAATTTTGTTACTTATTTCATGAGGATTTATGATGTCCTTCATACAATATAATTCAACAAAAAAACCATCTTTACTTGAACGACTCATAACATCATATCTATATGACCTATTGATTTGAAACCAGGTTCTACAGATAGCCAGAAAGCTCAAGTATTTTTCTATGAAAAAAAAATCTTTTTAAGATATTTTACATTTTTGTACATAAAACAGGCTACAGAGGTCATTAGAGGTTGAAAAATATTTTCTAAGCTATTTAGAGTATGCTCTAGAAGGCTATCTCTACCCTGATAATTTAGAGGCGTTACAGGATGCAACCACCTTGGTCTACATTTGTTACGCTTTGCATCATACCACGATGGGAAATTCAGTATACTATCATAATCTTGGAGCTAGTCCCAACAATTAATATATTGATAAAGCGTTGATAGGGTGATGTATTCAAGAAAAAAAAGAGGAGAAAATAAGACCGCAAACAATCCATCTCCCGGGAGTGAAGAAGACACTATGTCCTTCACAGCAGCCCCCCCTCCATGAATCTGAAAATATGGCCTTATTTAGCCAGGAAAGGGGGAGAGGAGGGAAGGGGAAAGAAATATAGGAAAAATAAGAGGAGCTCCAAAGCCTTGTTCCGGTATACTTCGAGACAAGACCCAACTATCTAACAAATAACTTGGTAAGCCAGCTTGACAATTCCCTCCTCTTCCAAACCCTTTTATCCCCTCTTGTCGCCCCCAGAACAATACTCTATCGGGGGTTTCTAACTGATTCGTCCATTGGTGGTAAGCATGAATGCATCCCCAAGCCACACACTATACAATCCAGGATGTATCCAATGTTTCTTCTAAAAGCAGAAAAGGATAATAAACAGATAGGGTGAAATAAGAGTGGGATAGTGCGGTGGGTTAAATTGGGATATTCAATAGGTACTAAATACTTGTATAATAGGGCATTGAGGGGAGGGGGGGGGTGTGAATGGGGTGTTGAACTGGGGGCAAGAAGATTAGACTCTGGGATAGAGAGATTAGAGAGGCCGGATGCATAGAGAGTTGCAGATCCGGGTTTGTATGTTCAAGTAAACTGGTCGTGAAGTAATTTGAAATTTCGGAGAAAGCCGTGGAAGCCACGTAGGGTATTCAGTGGTTCAGGAAATGAAGGATTTTTTGTCGGGGGTGAGTAATCGAGCATAGCAGTGGGTGGTAGACTGCCGGGAGTGCCGAGTGTGAAGGTATCGTAGTAGCGGGGGGTTTTTTTTTGTAGTAACAATGTGAGACTGGTAAGAGAGATATGGAGCGGATACGGAATAGGGAAGGCGCAACTTGAAGAATTAGCAGCCGCTTGAGAAATAAGATATTCGAGTAGTTGATCAATTGAGTGTCTCCAAGCTAGTTGCGCTACTTGTATCGTGCTGCCGAGATCTTAGATTGGGGTCTGCCCCGTGTGTGAGGAGAAGTTGCACAATCGATTCACGATTAAATGCTTTCGCTGCTTTTAGTGCATTGCCGAAACGGCCACCCTTCGCATTCACCTCTGCCCCACGCTCGAGGAGAAGCTGCACAACCGATTCGTTTCCCCGGGATGCTGCTGCTTGTAGTGCATTGCCATAATAGCCACCCTTCGCATTCACCTCTGCCCCACGCTTGAGGAGAAGATACACAACCGATTCTTTTCCCTGATATGCAGCTGCTTGTAGTGCATTGCCATACCTACCACCCTCCGCATTCAACTCTGCCCCACGCTTGAGGAGAAGCTGCACAACCGGTTCGTTTCCCCGATATGCAGCTGCTTGTAGTGCAT